TATTGAAGTTCTAAAGTGAAGTTGAATTGGTTTAAAAGCATTCTAAAAGGTTTCCAGTTCTAAATTGAATCGTTATTGTTCTAAAATATCTTTGAAGTTTCTAAATTGTTCCAAAATGCTCCATTCCAATAATGCTTCTGAAGTTCCCAAAATGTTTTGAAGCGCTATAGAATGCTTTTCGAAATTATGAATTGAGTTTTAAATGTTTTGAACTTTAGAAAAGGCTCATTATTAAAATTCTAAAGTGTTCTGTAGCATTCTAAATGGTTTCAAGTAACTTCTAAAATTAGATGAAAAACGAATTATGTGGAAATTTTCGTAGACATTTTAAATACGTTCTTACGATGTCCACCAAACGACATTCAACATGTCTTGCTTACATCTTTAGCGCGTCTTAAAGACATCTTGAAGACGTATGTTACAAAACCCAATGCCTTTCAGACGTCTGCCTTTAGAACTAACGCATTCTAAAGACGTCTTCAACGAAATTTTTAAAGTCTTTGAATCTTTTTTGAATACATGAATACATGAACCATTATTCACTTTTAGGCCTGGTTGTACGAAATAGTGTGGCTCAGTTGTCCTCAAAATGTGAATTTAGGACATATTATGGAAGTTTTTAGATTTTTTTTTGGTCTTCAGACGTTCAGATGTAATGGAGTATGCAGACCTAAAAAAGACGTCTTTAAAACTTTGTGTGCTGTCTGACTCTGGGTAGTTTCCTTCCCAAATGTTTTTCTTGTCATTATGTGTTTTTGCTGCCTCTCAACAAAAATATTTAGATTTTTAAATTTATTGAATTTTTCTTCTATTAAATGTAGTTTTTCATTCTGCACAAAAAAAAACATACTTATCTTAGTTTTTTTCAGATGTTTTGAAAAATTCCATATTGCGAAATGAAATAAATGTCAATAACTTTTTCACTTTCCAGCTAATAGTCTTGAAATTTCTTTCAATATAGTTAACTTTTGATTCTCCACAAAAACGTTCTATTGAGTTTTTTTGATATAATGGCATACTTTACGAAATATTCAATAAATTCCAAAAAAATTAAGATGGCGGACATTTTTTTCCAAGTTCCACCAATGCGATAAAGTGCGATTTTTGAGGGATTAATTAGGACCCTATTGACTACTCATTTCCGCAGAGATCACTTTGTTACCAATTTTTTCCACCCCAACCACCTATTTTGACTAGCCTAAATAGCGAAGTTGAATGAAAAGTTTAGATCCAAAACTACTAATCAAGATGTCTGGAACGATCACATAAGATTGAGTCTCCGTGTAGGATGTATAGGACCAAATACCTCCCCATAATATACTCCCACCAATTTCGGTTTTGGGTTGCGGTCATCCTTTACCTTTTTAATGTCCTGGATTTCTCCTTTCAATTAAAAATCTTCTTTCTGTGGTTTTACGATTGAATTTCCCTCGGAATTTCCCATCCAGGCGAAATGTCGTACTATGTACTATGCAGAATCAATGATTTTTTTTTTGAAATTTCATCAACTAATTTATAATAAAAGTGAAATCTGGCATAGAAATCTTCTCTATAGTAGTTCTTGCAAATACCTACTTACCTAGCTATTATTTATTTCCACTTTCTTTTGAATAAAGCCGGAAAAAATAATATTTCTATATAACTGTTCTTGTGCTTTAATTAGTCCATAAATTGCAGTGTGCTATTACGTAAGATTACTTAAGTTACACTAATTCTCATTATCAAGTCAAAGTTTTTTTTTTTGTTTGTGTTTTGCTTTTGACAAGGAAATTTGTTCATTGTGAACAAAATAAATTGCTCTGTATCGATTTGTCGGATTGGCAATTTGCATGTGGTGGGTAAATGAAGTTTCGTTTCAGTTGCGATTGATTATTAGAGCATCAATTTGTGAGCTTTTGCGCTTTGGCTAGGAATTTTATTATTATGTTGCAATTTAATATAATATTATTATTATTGTAATAGATACTTTGAAAAAGCCTCATATTATGTTCCTATGTATTGAAATAAATACATCAGTATTGCCAGTATTGGTGTTGCCTCACAGAGTCAAAAGAGTCCAAATAATTATTATGGATCTCCGAAGACCTGGTATTTTATTTACTAATTCGAAAGAGTTATTTTTATTGCAATTATTATTGCTCCCTAGAATGCTACTAACCCAGTCATTCAACCATATAGGAAAAAAATTATTCAACTCTCTCCACGCAACATTATTTTATTAGGTTCGCAGCAATAATCAATCTAGAGGAAATCGTCCATAGAATGACGATGCGCAACACATTTTTATTGTTATTTGTTGATATTGTTTAACAATAAAATAGTATCAATTAACGTACTATCGTCAGTATTATCCCATCTAAAATTGAGCTATTCGAGCTGCTTTAAATTTGTGCGTGAGGCGCCACCTATGGAGTTGTTATGTGGTCTTGCGCCATCTAGTTGCTTGTGAATAGTTTGCACTGGTTCAATGATTTTCATTGCGCTGTTCAGTCAGTGGACTTACAGATGGCGCTGGTCTCGTCTCAAAGCGCTGTTCATTTACTTGTTTTGAATACTTTACTTTGACTTTAATGCCGCAGTAAGATAATAGATGGCTCTGTAGGGTATTATGCATACTTATTTAATTTCTTGAAACAAGTTGCGTGAAATTATACAGGGTGTTCTCTAATATTCTAATTGAATGTCAATATTTTCGGGTTCATTTTGAAAAGAAAACTTCATATGAACATATGTCTTATAAATGTCTTATCATTTGAGATACAGGGTAATATGGATTTCACTAAAAAATATAACCGTTTCTCTGCATGATTATAATCATAACAAAAAAAAACAATAATATTGTTGATATGACTCATCATTAGGGTTGCCAGGTTTGAAAATTGAATTCGCAGGACATGTGTTGAGAAAATGCAGGACAGTAATGAAAAAATCAGGACTTTTTTATTTTCCTAAAATAATATTTATAATACCCAAAAATACGTTAAATAATACCTAACAAGGTTCAAATTAAATACGATTTTGGTAGGTAATTACTTAGTTTCACATGTTTTCCTAATATTTATATTAAATTTATCAAAAATATTGTAGACAACATTACATGACAAAACAAAAATGAACGAAATATTATAACTTGTTTCAAATAACAAAAATAGAGTAACAGTCATAAGTTAGCTACAAAAATAAAATATAACTGATAAACGTAACGTGAATTCAGTTTACAAATTCATCTAAGAGAAGAAAATCACTTTTTAGAAAAAGTATACTTCTTAGGTCTGTTCCAACACGTCAAAAATCGTCCCATGGACGGTTTCGAACCCACTCAGTGAACGAATTTCGGTATCTACGCACAAATTTTAAGCTTTGCGCAGAATCGCGACGGTACATTGTACGGTTTCCTGCTGTGTTGGAACAGACCTCTTGTCACTTTTTGCCGCCAACAGCATTTTTTTATTTTTCAAAACGTAGGTATCTGAAATAAAATTTAAAAAATAAATTATGTTCTAAGAGTAAGGATTTCATGAAATGCAGAACATTTGGTGTCCTGCGGACAACTCCGGCAGGACGCAGGGTGCAAGACCCTGAATCCAGGACATCCTGCGAAATCCAGGACGCCTGGCAACCCTACTCATCATACAGGGGAATAGATTCTAGTTTTTTAGGTGTAAAAACCGTGCGTCGGATTGTAAAAAATCAAGTGATCATCTTTGCTTAAAAAATGATTGGGGATTTCAAGATTATAATTTTCATTATAAGAGAAATCAGTAGCGTACCACCAATGTCTGCCAAAATAGGCAGATGAAACGACACTGGTGAAAATTGAAAAAAAATGTGGTACCTACATCAATAAATGATGATCGTTCGAAGGTCGTTCTGTCGAACGCTCCTTCGATATCAATAAATGCTGCCAGGGTGGACATTTTCCAATCCAGAGACTGTTCAATCCTGCACACGACTGCGTGGAGAGCAGTCTCCGTGGATTTTCATGTTGGTTTCGGTGAAGGGGGTTGCGTGCAAGGAGTCCTTCCCTTAAATTTCGTTCGCCCAGTCTCTCAAGATCCTTTAATAAAAAGAATGTGAGACTGATTGGGCGGTATGAATTGGCCTTAGCATAATCAGTTTTGCCTGACTTGGGTATAAAGATTACTTTTACCTCTCTCCATTTCTCAGGTATGTATGCCAGAGCAAAACACGCTCTGAAAATAAGCACTAGTTAGTCTAAGATAATATCCAGTCCTCACTGCATGAGCGCCGGATATATCCCATCCAGCCCTGGTGCTTTATATGGAGAGAAGCTATTGATTGCTTCCCCGACTTTTGACTTACTAACCACTTCCTGGGCCAATCAACCTCCGTAGGAGTGACAGTCTTATGGTTATTCCAGGTGTGATTTTCTAAGATCTCAAAGTCGGGAAACATGTGCTTTGTAAGAACTTCGGTCGTTTCAGCTGAGGTGGTGGTGTATGTACCATCCTCTTTTTTCAGCAGACCTAGCATCTTCTTCAGTCGGGCTGCAGCTGTAGTGTTTTGTATATCACTGCAGAAATGTCTCCAAGTTTCTCTCTGTGATCTGCAAATTGCCCCTTTATACAGCGATAGGTGTGTTTTATACGTATCCCAGTCAGTCGCCCTTTTAGTATTTTTCGCTCTATCGAAAAGCCTTTTGCTTTCTCTCTTGAGTCGCTCAAGTCTTAAACTCCACCAAGGAGTTGTTCTACTTGAGCGTATTGTTTTCAGCGGACATGCCGCCTCATAGGCTTTGCCTATTGCCTCAGTTAGATTGAGTACGCCTCTTTCTATATCTGGGCCTGTCTGATATTGTGTGAGGGGCAAATTTTTGTCCAGTTGCACTTCCAGCTGCTCCCTGAAAAGGTGTCTGTCGGTGCAATGTGGGTTTCGATATCTACGCTCCTCCATTTTCTTTGCCTCCAGTTTGAAGGTTATCAGTCTATGGTCGGATAAGGTGTCTTCGTCTGACATCTTCCAACCCTTTATACATTGTGTCAGTTCCCAACTTGCCATGGTAATATATATCCTCGTTTGGCAGCGGCTCGTGACAAATGTCGGTTCGCCGCCTGTGTGGAGATGAGAAATTCCACTAATTTGTCGCCTCGAGTATTGTTGTCTTCGCTTCCCCAAACATTGTGGTAGGCGTTTGTATCCTCTCCAATGATGAGTTGCCGTCCATGTCTCCGACAGTTTTCCACCAGAGCTATTGTAAGCTCCGGCATCGGTGTGTCTACCGGGAGGTAGCTGGAAGCGATGACAATATCCATAGCGCCATCTTTCATTTCGCAAGTTGTCATAACCACTGCCAAATCGGGGGTAGACAGTTGCGGTAGGAAGGTGGTCTTTATGTTTCTGGGTACATAAACACATGCCCTAGGTTTCGTTGTGGTCGTATCTGAGAAGCTATACATATTGCTTAATCCCGAGATCCTGGATTTTACAATCCATCAGGGCTCTTGAATTAATGCTATGTTGAAGTAATCCTGTAGGCGTCGACTGAGTAGTGCAGTCGCTGCCCCACTATGCTGTAAGTTGATTTCACAAGGGTTATTCCCGATTGAGCGAAAACCTTTGCCAGAAACTATCTATTGTTGGAGATCCCCCGAGGACCCAGCCTTCTCCCCGGAGTCGCCCCCTCCGTTACAGGAGGTTCAGCGACGTCCATGGGAGAAGGTGTGTCCTCCTGGAGCCTCCTACTGCTTTTTAGTAAGAGGGTGGAAAATTTATAATGCAGTTTCCCGTTTCCCGCCTCTCTCAATAATCAACCTTTGGTCGGCCTCCGGTACGCCGAACACATAAAAGTAACCCTGTGGCAGAGCTGGGAGTAACGACAAAAAAAAGTTACTTTACTTTAACGAGTTACTGAAAGTAACGCGTTACTTGGTAACTTCGTTACTTTTCAGATTGATTGATAAGTAACTGTAACGACGTTACTTTCCTGAAGTAACGCTGGAAGTAACGCGTTACTAGTTACTATGAAAGTAACTCGTTCTCTCAATTTGTTTAACTTCTTTACAAATAATTGACGAGTGAAGAAAAGGAAAATAAGTAATCCAAAAACTTTGTATGTCAAATAAAATGTTGGTAGTACAGAAAATTTGTTTTGAAAGTTCAAAATAATCGTTTTTGGGCGTGCCACGCGCCGCTTTGCTCTAAAGACACTATATGCAGACACTGGGACGCTTCAAAGAGCAGGTTTGTCCAAAACCAAGTGCTCTATTCAGTCGCTTAATCCTTAATCCATTTGAATTTTGCAAGAATACTCTTCCACATAGTCGGACTCACAAACCAAAAAAATATTGGAATTTCGTATAGGTCTTATTTGATTGTTTGGACTGCTGTGTTGGTGAGTCAAATTAAGGAATAACGCAATTTTCGACGTAAATAGTTTTTTTTGAAGTAACGCGTTACTTTAAAAGTAACGAACTACTTTTAAAGTAAAGAAGTTACTTTCAAAGTAAAGAAGTTACAGTAATGCGTTACTTTCCAATAAGTAACGAAAATAAAGTTATCATTATTCGAAAGTAACTGCAAATTTTAAGTAACGAGTTATTTTTAAGCAAAAGTAACGATCCCAGCTCTGCCCTGTGGTTCAGCCTTGGTTTCGGTGTGGAAGACCGGTCATTTTTTGATGTCGATGCCGACATTTTGAACCGCCAGTCGTGCCACGACAAGTCCTTTCCCGGGATCCAAAGGCTTGCCTTGGCCAGCCTGGGGAGGTCATCTGCCTGCACAACTTCCAATTGAGCCCCCTCCCATAGGACGGGGATTTGTTTTACGGCCCCTTTGAGCCATTCAAGGGACTCCCCATCTCCGCATATGATCCTAAGGATCTCCCCGGAGTGCGAAATACCCTCGAATGCGAGGCCTCTTTGTTGGTTCTCCTGGACCGCCTTGTCCAAGAGACCCTCAAGGTTTGACTGGACAGCACCTGCCTGTTCAGCAGTCAGCTTCCTAAGCGGGTGCTGTCTGTCTATTATAGCTACTCTTAGGTGGTTCTGGGAGTAGCTGCCGTGTGCAGGGGCTGCTTTTGGGAAAGCCGCTCTGTTGACAACTTCCGGCCGCCTCTTCAGGGTGGCCCTTGGAGAGGGTTCGGAAGTGTCGGAGCGGTTCCTATTCAGGCCGCCCCTGCGTTTATTTCCGCCCATCACCCCAGGGTTTGGCCTGTGAGCCTTACCACCTGGAGGTGGCTTAGTCGCCAATATTGTTATTTCCATGATACTGACAAAGCCAGAGCAATCGTTCTCTTGAGAACGCTATTGCCCAGTTACGAGAATACAGGCCCAGGATGCAAGCCTCTTTCTTGCTGAGTCGGATAAAGAATGTCGGTTTACTAATGTTACGTTTATTTCTAATAATTTTTTAACTATTCCTGATCTAGAAAAATTAAATTTTACGTTTTAATCCCCTCAGTATCACGGGAGAACAGTCTTATAAATAAATTATGTAAAATCCTGAGTAATAATGAAAGTTATTGCGAATTTTATTGCGTCACCCAATGGTCAAAAACTCGTAAATCCTTCCAAGGGCCATCTGTCCTCTGGCGATGTGAACCTTTTATCGACTGCGGCCGTTTTTATAATTTCTACATCATTAAACTCTATTAAAACATCGTGAGCTTCTTTGGTAGATGGACATTTATGATCGGACAACATTAAAATATCTGAATTATCCGATATTGAGTGAGTTTTATAGGAGATTGTATAGTTCTCTGGTTGATGGACATTTATGATCCGACAACATGAATATCTTTTCAGCATATCTGTATTGTCTGATATTAAGTGAGTTAGATTTTGGTCAGATAATGGTTAAGCTATTGGGAGGAATGTCTTTTATGTAGGTCATGTCACTTAGGATTTTTATCTTATGATTGAAGAGATGCCGATAAGAAAAATGAAAAACAATAAAGCAAATCTTTATGAGAGGGGACAAAATCAAATGCAATAATTTCAAGTATAGGGGCATGGCACTATCATGAAAAACAGTCGGTACATAAGATCCATGTTTTTACTACAACAATTAAAAGAAAAAGCAAACAAACAAGGAAAATATTGCAAGAAAAAGGAGTGCATGAAGATACAATAAATAAAATAAATGAAATATGTGTATTAGAAAAACAACTATGTAATAACAGAAAGTAGGTAGTTTCAAAAAAAAATAGAATTGAACCTAGAACAAGGCTGTATTCAGATTTTGTATTCAAAATTAATTTTTCTAAGTAGACTTTATCAGAACATCAATTTCTTGGACTGGCTTTTCGTTGATGATTTGGTAATCCTAATCACAGCAGAAATTTAGGAGATTTTACCTAAAACGATGATGTTCAGAATGTTCAGTAAGATATAGTAAACTAATTGAAAATTGTATTACATGATGAAACAAAAAGAATACTCGTAAGTATGGAACTGGAAAAATAGAAGAGCCTAATATAGCAAAAGACAATTGAAATAATTGGTAGAATTGGGAAATGATGGAAGCAACAAAGGAACATCAATAAACATTTTGAAATTGAGAAATGTAAGTAGAAATGTAGAAGTGAACAAGTATGGAGAAGAAAATAAAAAAAGAAAATGTTCAAGTTAATTAAAAAAAAAAAAAACACCTGTAGCACCATTGCCTTGTATGTATTTGGAAATATTTTCAACCAAACAATGATTGATTTTAACAAGGATTTTAATACCAAATTTTATCATCCAAACTGAAAATCTTTTTTATACACCTCACATACTTAGCAGTTTAGACAAATAAGGCACCGGGTTGCATTGACCACATGCACAAAATTTGCATTGTAAATTTTAAAAATTGCATAGCGTGAAGATCGATTTGGCTACGCAACCACCATAAACCATCACAACACAACCGTTTTTTTCTCGGTTTTCATCCAAGAAAGAAGACACAAAATGGATACGGTTGGGGTAATTACCGTCCATGGGCAATAAATCAATCGAGACAATGGGCCTGCATGATTTAAGTGCGTCCAGAATATGTGCGGCCACAAAAGCTAGAGGGTCGCTGCATCCTTCGTCTCATAAATATATTATACGCGGAGGTTAGGGAGGTGACCAGATCGGCCTGTTTTTTCAAAGGAACTGGCCGATGTAGACCACTTGAGGTGCTCGGCGGTTAGTTTGCCAATTAGACCAGAAAATTACTGAACGTTTTTATGAATATCGTGTCGTTAATGCTTGCAGAATAAAAATGGCAGGATTTTCAAGTGGACTTCGGACCGAAAATGATGGAAAAAATCCTCTATAGTAGTTGCATCAAACTTGTTCTTGCTTGGTGATAAAATGGCCGAATGTTTAAAACTAAAAACATCCCTTTAAAGGGTCTCTCACTGTTGCAAATATACAAGCTCATCATTTGCGAAAATATCACTTGACTAGATTAGATTTTTTGTTTTGGCTGACCAGGTTATTGATTTGTAGAATCAGTAGCCGCTTTAGTTTCCAACTTAATGAATTAATAATGTCTTCTAAATTGGCTAATTTCAATAAAATCATGAATTCCGTTGGTCCATTGAAACTTTTTTTACTTATATCGCATTTGTTTCTGCTTGAATTATTGCTTTTATCCGTGTTGAATATTTTGTTGCTCAGATCTGTTGTATTTTCCAGGATCTTTATTTCGCTGTCCACAATATTACAATGTTCTTTTTCTTTCTCAAACTTTCCATCCTCAAATTTCTTTTTAGTCAATTTGCTTTCGTCCACACTAATAATAATTGTTTTTATTTTGTTCAAGTCATCACAATGGTTATTTTTTTCTATCTCTTGTGTATCATTTTGTGCTTCGGTAATATTAGATGCTCGATTAGATGTATTATCATCCGAATCTGTTTCTGCCGACACTTCTACTTCACAATCGCTTTCATTTGTCTCAAAAGTTGCAAAATCATTTGTTTGTTCCCCTTCAATGAAGTTGTCTTCTTTGGTTATTTCATTTAAAGTTATTGTCTCTGTTATTGTATTAAAATTTGTATCTGGTTCAAAATTAGGGTTGTCCATCAGGTTTTGATCATTGAAAATATTGAAATAGTATGTTATATCATCAAATTCAATCGGCATTAAGTCCAAATAGTCTAATGCAGATTCTGTGAGAGCTATATTATCAATATTATTATCGCAGTTAGTTCCAGAAGAAGTAGAAGATATCTGATGTTGACAAAATTTAAAAAGGTCTCGACTACCATCATCTTGTGTTTCATTTCCTAAAAGTCGCGATTCGTATTTCGTAATAGTAGTTCAGGACCTTCAGGACAGCTTTGGAATCATCTGATGTTGGATGGTTGGCTTCTTGAGTTTTAGTCTGTGGAAATAATTTTTTTCTTCGAAAAAATATACATTTACTATAATCAACGACTTGTGGTCGATATTAATGTGGGATAATGGGAAATTATATGCTGTTTTCC